GGCCAGTGAGTCACATCCCAGGAGGGGGGCATCCGCTGTCGCCTTCCTCCACCCAGGGGTCGGGATGCCGCGGCCAGAGCCCAGCGGGGCCTGCCCGGGCGGGATTCGAACCTGCTGCCTGTAAAGGACATTCTGAGACGGGGGTGGGGGGGTGGGAGGTTTGGGCGTGGGCCGGGATTGGCCCTGCTCAAGGAGTTTTCTTCATTTTGTTAGTGCTTCAGTGACACTGAAGGTGCGTGAAAGGAAAATGCCCTCATCTTAGCAAGACGCGTTTGCAGGGAATCCTAAGACATTTTGGGCGATGGCAAAATACTCCAATAACCACAAAAGTGTGTGTGTGTGTGCAAAACAAGATGGAAAATGTAGACGACCGAAACCAGGTAATGGAGTTTCTTTCCACGCCTCCTCTACTCTTGGGTAAGCTAGAAATTTCCATCATAAAAGTTAACGTATATAATGCACGCTACTCTCCCACGGAGTGTGGGACCTGAAAAACTCTTCGAATACAGGATAGCCATGCAGCTTGCTCCGTCCTCTAGGAATAAGTGGTAAATCTGGGGAGGCACGCAGGGGAAGAGCCTGGGAGAACCCCGCAGCCCCGGACTCAGCCGGGGGCCCCGTGTCCCCCCGGCCACGACCGCCCCGAGGCTGTACCTGAGGTCACGCTGGTCGGCGGGAGCTCGGCTCCCTGCCCGCAGTAGAGCAGCAGGACCAGGAGGGTCACTCCCTTGGTGGCCGCCATGCCCCTCCACAGGAGGAGGCCCCTCAGCTTCTCCCGCCTCGGTCTCCAGGACGCAGCGGAATGCCCAGGGTGTGTGACATCACGGCAGCAGAGGAGCCGGGTCCTGCCCCTGTGTGGGGGGTCGTGACAGGGAAGAGGGGGTCCCCTGGGGCTGTGGGGAGCGGGGACCCTTCTCCTCACCCCTGATGAGGTCCTCCCTCAGGCCTGTTGGCCCTGGGACCTGGCAAAACCCAGCAATCCAGCTTCGGGCAAAAGAGGTGGTTGGAAGGAGGCTGGGGCTCACCGAGCCGCAGGGCTGGAGCCGGCAGGGCAGCGGGGGTGGCGCCCAGGCCTCCCCACGTGCCCAGGGCCCCGCAACGCCAGCCCCCTTCTCCTCTCGCAGCAGTGAGACCCCGCGGCGAGCCCGCCGGCGGGCTCGGCCGGGCCCCCTGTGTGCCGCGCGCACTCCGTCACGCAGCCGTGTCTGACTCTGCGACCCCATGGGCTGCAGGCCCCTCTGTCCATGGGATTCTCCAGGCAAGAACACTGGAGTGGGCTGCCGTTTCCTCCTCCAGGGGATCTTCCTGACCCAGGGATTGAACCCACGTCTGCTGCATTGGCAGGCGGACTCTGTCGCTGAGGCTCCAGGGAAGCCTGTGGGCCATAAGCCATCCCACACCCCAGTCCTGGACTGCCTCCCGTGTCTGGGGTCGGAGTCACCCCACCCGGGGAGGGGCGAGTTGGACAGTCCTCCAGCCACAGGGCGATGGTCCTGGACGCACAAAAGCCGTGCCGCCTGAGCCCGGGACGGGCCCTAAAGACGGTGCCCCTGCTAGGGCACTTTGGCTCTTTTTATTGAGGATACCGGGAACTAATGCAGACGTGCAGACAGCAGTCTACCTCGAGGAGCGGCCCGGAGGATGCTGCAAGCGTCTGCAGCATCTGTAGCCTTATTAAACTTAAACAGAGCTCACGTTTGCAGGCAGCGTGGTGGGTTCCGTGTCCTACGTGAGCCGGTCAGTGGTCTGAAAACACACAGATCAGTGGTCTGAACGCTTTCCACTCAAGCGTGGTCCTTGGACCAGCATCCTCAAGCGGAAAACGGCACCATGGAAGGGCCCACAGTCTGAGCTGCTGTCTGTGGTGGCCAGAGGCAGCAGGGAATCCAGCGTCCACAGTGACCGCCTCGGGGGAAGTACCGCCCGCAGCAAACCAGGCGGTGGAAGCGTGGCTACAGTAACCTGCCCAGGAGGTGAAGCTGTCTCGGTCACCATCCAGGTCGGCCTCCGCCTGGACCAGATCAGGAACTGACAGCTTCCCTCGGTTTAGTCTCCACTTCCAAATGGCAACCCACTCCAGTACCCTTGCCTGGAAAATCCCATGGACGGAGGAGCCTGGTAGGCTGCAGTCCGTGGAGTGGCAAAGAGTTGGACACGAATGAGCAACTTCACTTCACTTCACTCCACTTCCAGCTCAGACCAAGCAGAGCCAGCTGGCTCACACACAGGAAGCTCTGGTCCCCTGCGAGGGTGTGGGCAGCCCTGCCTCGGGCAGGGGTGTCCTGAAGACTTGCTCCAAACACGCAGAGCTGTCATCTTGCGGGTTCTGGGGGCAGAAGCCCCCGCCGGGGTCCCGGGGCGACGGTGAAGGTGCGCGCAGCGCCGTGTGCCTCCCGGGGGCCCCGCAGAGCTGTTTCCTCCTCCTGCTCCCGGGAGGCGCCGCTGTCCTGGGCTGTGGCCCTTGCCCTCCCTCCTCGGAGCCCGTCCTGCCATCCGGCCTGACTTACAGAGCCCTGGTTGGTGCCTGCGTGTGCCAGCCTGAGCGGGCCACATCGCCTGCATGGATGGAACAATATTCTGGATGTTTCTGTGAGGCTGTTCAGACTGAGCCTTATGTTTAAAGTGGGGGGCGTTGCTGTTACAGTGAGATATACTGTATGATTCCACTTAGACGAAACACTTGAAGTGATCAGGGTCAGAGAGATAGAAAGCAGAAGGGTGGAGGAGAGATGGAGTGGTGACTGTTTAAAGGGGGCAGACTTTCTGTTTCACAAGATAGAATTATGGGGCTGTTCCCATTAAACAGTTTAACTAGTTTGTGTAAAATATGAAATCACAGAGTTAAAGCTTGGCAGAAATGGGCTTTTTAGAAGCTAATAATTCTAAGTATATTTTGCTCTTCAAAGAAATGTCTTTTTTTCTAAAAAGGAGCTGTGGGCATAGATGGAGGTGATGACTGAACAGCCGCATGACTGTACTTTATATCTCTGAACCTTACACTTAAGAATCCTTACAGTGTTAATTTTTTTTACATTGTTTTCCAAATTGGGAGGGAAAAATATGCAGATATAAAGTGCATGGAAGAGTCTGTGGCATGTATTAAGTACTCAAATGCTAGGTATGAAAGGAAATTTTAAAAAACTGGAAAATTGTGGGTGGGCCTTGTCCAATCAGTTGAAGGCCTGGAGAGGGGAAAAAAAAAAAGCCTGAAGTTCCCCAAGTAAGATGGAAGGCAGCTCCAGCGCCTCCCTGGGCCTCCAGCTCACCTGCCTGCCCTGCCGTCACAGTTGTGAGTCAGTTCCTTAAAATAAATCTCTCTATATACACCTACGAGCTTCCTGTAGAAGACGGGTTAGATTGACTTCTAACAGTCCATCCCAGAACTCAACCCTGAATATTCACTGAAGGACTGATGCTGAAGCTGAAGCTCTAATCCTTTGGCCCCCTGATGGGAAGAACTGACTCAGAAAAGGCCCTGATGCTGGGAAAGATTGAAGGCGGGAGGAGAAGGGGACGACAGAGGATGAGATGGTTGGATGGCATCACTGACTCAAAGGACATGAGTTTGAGTAAGCTCTGGGAGTTGGTGATGGACAGGGAGGCCTGGTGTGCGGCAGTCCCTGGGGTCGCAAAGAGTCGGATACGACTGGAGTGACTGAGCACACATACACGAATGTATTTTAGCATAATCTGGTCTATATCTGCAAACTATTTTGCCGGAATTTGTGTGAAACCTGTACATCAATTTGAAGAGAATTTTCAAATGTTTTTTTCCTGCCTGAATTGACATGACTGAGTGACTCTTTCTTCATTAGCTTGCTAAGATGGCCAGTCACACTGAGAAATTTCTATAGTTTTATCTTTTTATCACTGATTTTCTTCTCTTTTCTCCATTCTGCTGTTGAGCCCAGCTTGTGGGTTTTAAATTCTTTCCAGATGCAGTGTTTGTTAATTCTGAAATGTCTCTATGCTTCTTCAGCCTTGTATTTTCTCTTTGTTTGCTGAAACCTTCTCTGTCTTTGTTGAGACTTTCTATTTTTTCATTTGTTTCCACTGTGTTTGTAAATGCTTGTTGAAGCATTTTTGCCATCGCTGGTTCCACACCCTCTTCAGAGACTTCTCGCGCTTGTTATTTCAGGGCTGGTGTCTGTTGAGCGTCTGTTCTTGTTCCACTTGTCATTTTCCTGGTTCTTGGTGGGGCAGAAGGTTGTCTACGGAAGCGTGGATGGTGTGTGGATCGTCTTGTAAGACGTGGATCTCTCTGAAACCTGTCGGTAAGCAGGCAGGCCGCTGACCCCAGGCTGGGGTGTTTATTACTGTCAGCTGGGCTGGAAGCCCGGGTTCCTCACTCAGCCTGCTCCACCACAACCCCAGAGGTGGGCTGGCCTCCTTGTCTTCAGCTCCACGATGGTGCAAGCCAACTTCTGCTGGCAGGCTGGGGACAGGGTCCAAACTTCCTCTGTGCTGTTGGGCTAGAGACGAGCCATTACCGTGGAGACACTGCTGACCTCAGGAAGCCGGCCCGTCTCCCCGCCCTCAGGCTGGAGACCTCGGGAAGCCGGCCTGTCTCCTGGCCCTTAGGCTGGAGACCTCGGGAAGCCGGCCCGTCTCCCGGTCATTAGGCTGGAGACCTCGGGAAGCCGGCCCATCTCCCGGTCATTAGGTTGCTGATCTTGGGAAGCCAGCCAGTCTCCTGGCCCTCAGGCTGGAGACCTTGGGAAGCCGGTCCGTCTCCCGGCCCTTAGGCTGCTGACCTCGGGAATCCGGCCAGTCTCCCGGCCCTCAGGCCAGAGACCTTGGGAAGCCAGCCCAACTCCCGGTCCTTACTGCTGACCTTGGGAAGCCGGCCCGTCCTTAGGCTGGAGACCTCGGGAAGCCGGCCCATCTCCTGGCCCTTACTGCTGACCTTGGGAAGCTGGCCCATATCCTGGTCCTTAGGCTGCTGATCTTGGGAAGCTGGCCCGTCTCCCAGTCCTTACTGCTGCCCTCGGGAAGCCGGCTCAGGATGGAGAGCAGGCTTTTGCGTTCGGATCTCCGGGTATTTCCAGGTTGGCCACTTTCTCTGCTGCCTGCTGGGAGCCCTGGGCCAAACCACAGATCTGGGGCTCCCGGCCAGGCTGGTCCTCGGGTCCTTGAGCATCTGAGCCAGCCTGCTCCTTCCAGAGGCCTCTCACGGTTGCTTTGCCTGTGACGTCCAGGCCCTTCCGTGGTACCTAGCAGGAAGAACAGGGAAAAGGACATCTGCTCCAGTGTCCATGCTGTAGGAGACCGTGAAGGCTCTCTGTGAAACATGGGGCCTGCATCCCGCTGGGTTATGCTTTGGAACAGCCGTGGTCAAGAGGTCAGCTCCGGTCACAGGGCTGACTTATTCCCCAGCTTAGCCACTTACAGGCTGGTCCCATGGGGACAGCCGTTCCCAGGGGGCTGGGTCATTTATGTCTGGCTCATGCCACCCTGCTGGGGTCTGGGCGTGTGGCGACCCTGGTCCCAGCAAGTCCTGAGATCATTTTCAAAGCATGTTTGCAGTTGTTTTCACTTGTGAAATATCCAGTGGACCTGTAATTTGGCAATGGCCGTATAATCGATTGCTTGAAAGCGGGAGTGAGGCTGGCTTCTATACTGTAAGCTCTTCTAAGTGACAGAATGACAGGACTGTGGCTGCAGAAGGGCAGACGGTGGGCACCTCCACTCCCTGAGGACACAGCCCTCTGCCCGTGCGCTGCGCTGAGCCAGCGTGTGGTGCGCTCGGGCGCCGGGCCATCATCCTAACGGCCGCGAGGCCGCCAAGCTGCGTGCATTCCGTCGCGTCTTCTCCCGCTCTCTCTCTGCTCTCCGCAATCTGTGTCATTGTCTTCTTACTTTTGTCTTCAGAAAGCTTTAAATAGACTTGCTGGGAAAGAGGAACTGTGTCAGTCACTGAGTTCTGATGCTTCACGGATTAACTGTAGAGACCGGTTACGCCGACGCTGTAAAGGTGGGGAGGGACCTGGTCTCGCATGGAGGTCATGGGGGCCACGGCCAGTGGGCCTTCCTACTAGGGAGGGCCCATGGGAAGCGAGTCCGGGCAGAACAGCCCTGATGGTGCCCAGCAGCAGTGCTGGGTGCTGTGCTTAGGGACCCCAGTCTTGACCTCAATGGGCTGTAATAGCTCTGCATTCACAGGACTCCTCCTCCAGGAAGTCTAAGGGTGGGTGACAAAAGTGAAATGCCCAGAGGAAAGGCCACCTCTGCTGAGAAAGCAGCAGGGAGGGTTTGCCTGAGTAAGGAGACCCCTAAGAACACCTCTATATCCATCCATCCACCCATCCACCCATCCATCCATTCATCCATCCACCCGTCCATCCATCTACCTATTCATCCATTCATTCATCCATCTTCCTTGTCTCCACATGGGCTACGTCTTCTGAGAGGAAGATGTTTCAATGTTGCTCTGATAAGAAATCCAATTATTTACATGTTGCTACATACAATAAGGGCTTCCCTGGTGGCTCAGTGAAGAATCTGCCTGCAATGCAGGAGACCTGGGTTTGATCCCTGGGTTGGGAAGATCCCCTGGAGAAGGAAATGGCTACCCACTCCAGCATTCTTGCCTGGAGAATTCCATGGACAGAGGAGCCTGGTGGGCTACCGTCCATGGATCACAAAGAGTTGGAATGACTGAGCACACACACACACACACACACACTCGCAGTGAAACCCCGTCTCTTGGCTGTGGCTGTTTGGCATAGATGCTTGGCTATGAGCATCTCTAGGCAAAGACTGCCCTAGAAGACCACCTCCATTTGCAGGTTCTGTCTTGTATCAGTCTTTTGAATTCAGATAAAGAACCCAGTATTGCTTTAAGGAATAATTTTGGCAAAATCCAATATATTCTACAAAACACACTGTTGTTTGAGGACAGGATCACCTTACAAAAAAGAAAAAAATTGCTTATATAGAATTAAGTATCAATTGAAAAATTCGAAGGAAAAGCAATCAGGACTTAGTTGTAATATTGTGCTAGATATATTTATCCAGACCCACTCCTTGCAAAATACATAGCTATGGAGTAGGACCTCTGTTAGCTGAGCTTAATTGCAGGTTTTTTCACCCAAAGAACATCATTAACTAGAGGGAGACAAACAAGGAAACAGGGTAAAGAAACTTTAAAGATGCTTTTAAACCAGCAACACTCCCAGTCATGCGTGTGCTTTAGCCTAACTGCTATTTTTCCCCATCACTGTGGAAAGCAGACACTGGCTAATTCCCCAGCATTCTTTGCGGGAGCATTCACAAATCCACAGTTGTCAGTCCTACAATTACTGGGACTAAGTGACTAGGAATTAAAACTGGATATCCTCCATGTCTGTGTTGCATAACCATCTTTAGGACTGTAAAATCCTTGGGACTTCCCTGGAGGTCCAGAGGTTAAGACTCCATGCTTCCAATGCAGGGAGCATAGGTCCAGTCCCTGGGTGTGAACTAGGATCCCACATTTCACATGGCAGGCCCCGCCCAGAAAAAGATTCTAAAGGCACAACTTGACATAAAATCACTCTGTCCACGGCTGTGGCTCTAGGCACTGTGTGGATTGAATCGTCGCCTGGCTAGATTTTTTTTTTCTGATACTTGACCTTTTCAGTTACTCATCTGTGACCAGCACACGTTGGGAGCAGCTTCCCACCAGTGGTCCGCTAATGTCGTGGCGAAGGAAATAAGGCGCAGAGGACCCCACATGCACACAGCTGAATCTGGGTGTGCGCAGGGCATGGCATCGCGGGGAAACTTGCTCTGTGAGAGGGGAGAGTGTTGGCGCGTGACAAAGAAGAGAAAATTGGTGCTACACCCCGTAGTTAATGTGACAACATGCGGCTAACGAGCACTTAATGGTCCCCAGTCTGCTCATTTTTGTCACCCATTTGAGAATGTCACTTGTTTTATACTTAGCCCTACGGTGTAGGATTAGCTGCGGGCGAAAGTGAATTAGTCAGGGTTCTTTAAGAATCAGAGCAGAAATACTAGAAAATGTGTACAGATATGAAGAGACTGAACGTGTATACACGGGTGCAGATAATGTATAATTAACTCCAGGGAGTTTTTGGCTGAATGTGTGAACTGGCAGTAAAATTGTACATTTGGTGAGAATGTCACCTTAACATGGAAAATAATTTTTTTTAAACCTGAAATCATTCTTGGAGAAATATCACAGGTCATCAGTTACTGCTGTTTGTCTGGGCACAGAGAGAATCTCACTTGCAAAATAGAATTAAGGAGCTCTGTCATACATTTATTTATTAAATATACACACACACACACTTTTTTCTTTTTTAACACCACTTTTATGTTTTGTTTCAATTCTCCCATGTTTTCCCATAGAAATTCTCTCTTTTATTCTTCACATCGGTCAGAGCATCCCAGACCTTAGAGATTCCGGGAAAGAGGTCGAATTTGTTATTTTTCTTCTTTAAAGTGCCAAGATCTCTTTCTGTCATTCTAGTGTTCTCCAGGTAAGATCAGCTGAGCAGAAAATCTCACTCTGCCTGCTGTGAAGCGTTGCAGGGACTAACGAGTGGAAACAGCTTTCTCCTTTGCTGACCTAGTGTAGCCTGGAGACCCAGCGGCATCTGCCGCTCCTTTCACCCCCAAAATCCTCCACCCCCAGCACCCGCCCTCCAGAGTTCACACTCTGCTGTGAGCGCCCATGTTCCTCACAAGATGCAGGATCGATGAAAGCCCCCGAGCCCTGGGACTAGAGGGAGTTTGGGAGTGAGATGGTTGCATCTCGAGGGACACGCGTTCAGAACAGGGCAGCATCTCTGTTCGGGACCGCCCCGCGGACCGCTGTGGAAACGCCACGGGGACCTGCAGCTCCCAGACGCAACTGTAGATGGCGACACAGTACGCAGCTCCTTCCGACCGGAAAGGTACAGACCGCTTTCTTATTGGCCCAGGTGCCTGAATTTTTGCCATTAGCGAGTTCTTCCTTTGCTTAAAGCAGTGTGCTCCTGGGGGCACCACGTCAAATGAAATACTTCTGGAAGGGGGAGCCTGTTAATCACTTACCAGCTGTTGACATGCAGGAGCTGAGTGAGTTGGAAAACGGCTTTCCCAACGCAATAAAGGCAAGTCTGGAGGTGCAGGCCCAGGGTGGGCGTCAGAGACGACGGCAGGACACTGCTTGGCGTGCTCCGCTGAAGGAAGCCCAGCACTCTGGGCCGGCTGTCCTGGAGGGAGGGACCTGCCAAAGGTCCTCGCGATGACATGTGGCTGGAGGGCTTCCTCGCATCCCCCCCCTCCCACCCCTCCCATCCCCACCCCACCCCCATAGAATAGAGAAAGTGATGCACTTAAAATCCCCAGGAACGTGAAATGCCATGGAAATCTAAGTCAGGAGCCAAGGAGAGACAGCTGAGACCTTTCCAAGGGCATCGTCCCTTTCAATTTAGAATCGAACACTTGGAATCCTGAATTGTCTAATTTTGTTATCTAGTTGCTCTTAGAGGTGAACGGGCCAGATTTATGATCCCATTGTAATAGACCTGTCATTGAGTCTGCTCGTAAAAGTTTCTTCATTACATTAGTGGCCTGAGCCGGCATGCAGAATTATCCTGTAGTCTCCAGGTGGCCCTGGGGTTCAATGCAAAGTTGTTTTGCACAAAGCGAGTGGCAAAAATAATCCTGGCCTTTTAGTTTTGATTTCCTTTCTATTGATTTACACTCGGTACATCTAATTCCAAATCTTATTGATGGCCGGGTTGGTCATTCAATTGAGGCTTTGTCGTGGAGGAGTCATTAGGAAAGTGGAGAGGAGAGGCCGTATGATTTCCACGGGGACGAGGGATCCAGGGCTAATTTTATTGAGAGATCAGAGTCGTGCCAAACGCTTAGCAGGTCACGGGCCAACACCATCGCTGAAGCGCAGGAGGTCCCGCGGCTGGCGGCGGGGGCCGGAAAACGCAGCATCTGAGTCTGTCTTCTTGGAGCACACAGAACCAGGGAGTGTGACCCTGTGAGCCGCAGGGGCCAAGCTCGGACGATTCCTGCCGAAAACGCTGTCCTGAGCGACTGCAGGTTCAAAAACCAATGGTGGTGTTTGGATGTGTCTTCACATTTTTATTTGAAACAAGCGAGTAAAAGTTTAAAAACTAGCTTTGATCTTGAAAAGAAAGATGCCGTGTCCTTAGCCCGGCCCAGTGACCGCCCGCTTCCCGCAGTCCTGACTCTCCACGTGGCGGGGATGCGACGTCGCGTCCTCACAGGCGTTTTCCCTGCAGTCGGACATGTTCCCGACCACGTGGACAGCCTGTGGCCCGGGGTGGAAAACCTTGACTTAGCATCCTGAGGCAATGTCTAAATTAATGAAAACCTGAACAACGGAGTTGTTTTCAACTTGGAGGTTTCAAAATGCCCTTGAAGGGAAGGAAATGGAGGGCTTGCTCTGGGTAACTTCCTGTCAGGACACACTGTCTGGGGTTGTCAAGTAGCCCACGCCTCCGGGGGCCCCCGGGCTGAGCCTGCTGGCTGTGGGGGACCTCGGGCCCTGGGGACCTGAGGCTGGATGCCTTCCCGACCACACACTGCCTGGTCCTGGGGTGGGCGCCCCTCTGGGTGCGGTGGGAGTGGGAGAAGGGAGGGAAGGCGGGAGGGGGCCAGGGCCGAGGGGCACAGAGCAGGGGGGTGGAGGGGCGGCGGGGTGGGCGGGACCCCCGGGGTGGGGACTGCACCTTCCAGAGACAGGTCCCCTGACCAGGCGCATCTCGGAGACCCTCCCGCTGACCTGCAGCC